GTCAACAACAACGAAGATATCAGAGGAGTGGGGGTATTTTCGGATGGGAGGGGGGGGACTTAAAGGGGCTCCAGACCCCCCGATTCAGACTGCATTACACAGGGAAATGTAAATTTTTTTCCAAAATCCATTCCATATCATTTCGCTTAATGGATCAAAATTATTTGTATTTTTATGTGTAAATACTGACTTTATCGGGTGAAAGCATTTCAATCAATGTCCGTAAAACACTTATAACATTTATAAATAATGTAGTGATAAATAAGAAATGTACTGATAAATAAGTTAATAAGTAAATAATTAAACTTACCACGTTACAAACTTAATATTAATTTATACACAAAGAAAAAAACATTTTGTATATTTTATTAAATTTTATTAAATACATAAAATCGTTACCGAATGATACAGATCACTATCCTATACAGATTACGCCTTTTTGTTTCAGTGCAGCCCAGGACCTTTTCCTGCCCCCGCTAAACCCTAAAAGTCTATGGCCAAACACGAAAGAAGCAGCGCCCATAAAACGAGGACATCTAATGAGTGAATGAGTGGGACAGGGGCGGCATAAGGGGGGGCTCCATGGGGGAGGGGGTCGGAAAATGGGGGAGGGGCGTCGGAAAATGGGGGAGGGGCTGTGGAAAGCGGGGGCGACTAAAACCGTGAGCCGTGAGCGACGCGTGACGTTCGTGTATTTTATCGATATTGCAATTTATTGTATTAGCCCGCAAACGACCGAAAGAAAAGGAGGGTACGGGTATGGAAAAGGGAAATAGGAAAAGCAGGGAAAAGCTGGGAAAACTGGAGAAAAAAAGATGGCATGAGAGGAGTGGAAAACCTGAAGCAAATATCGCCAATATCCCCCTCCAAAGTTCCGATAATATTCGCTGGCTATAAAGTGAAATATGTGTTAATTTTTTTGCCATAGATAAATAGAAAAGCGCTAAAAAGGGGGAGCAGTCACGCCCATCTAAATATATATATACAGCATAAATATTTGTTGTAATGATAATATTGACATTGATAAGCGTCCACAAATTTATGCACAATTTGGCTAATTGATTGGGGCGGATCCGTGGATACGAAAATCCACAGCGAAATGGCAACATCGCACGCAAAAGGGAAATTGTGAAAATGAGAAAATAGATTGAGTGAGATATTCAGGAGGTAGTATTCAAAATATTCTGAAAATAAATATTCTCAAATAAAGAAATATTCTTTTATTCTCAAATATGGAAGTTGAATTCAACTAAATGTGTGACTTTAAATCAGACTTGTTCCTCAGTTTTCACTTTAAATTGAGTAAGTTTTAATTTTCCAACCAAGCTGCTACTGCTGCCACTTTAAAGTGCATTTCTTTTCTTTGAATTTTCCCATTCAGCTGTAGATGATTAGCTGACTTTTAGTTATTTAATTAAGGCCTGGCCCTCGACTCCACTTTTATTGGCAGCTGACTTCGGCGCGAAACTTGTGCAAAGTGTGTTGTAGCCCTTTCCCCATCCTCGTTTCCATCCTGCGGAGGAGGCTGCTCTGGACTTGGCCGGTCGCCCTGGTCGTGTTTACCTTTCCGGCTGGTTGGGCAGGCAGCGGCCTCAAATGAAGCTTGAAGTGTTGGCCCAAGACGCAGCCACCGCAGCCGGCGGGTTCCGAATTTTGGATGGGTTTTCGCTGGGTTTTCGTCTGGTTTTCGCCTGGTTTCAACCGGGCTTTTGGCCCGGTCGAAAGCGAGACGTCAATGTCAAGTGTTCGGAGGCGGCGGCGACGTCAATTGCCACCGAAAATCAAGACGGACGTGTGGCCAGACAGACCAACAAAATCAGACGGCGAAACGCCCACGCAGAAACCATAAACACCAGGGCTACAAGCCGATATTTTTGGGTATCAATTCAAGGCTAAATTAGAAGCTGCGGTAAATAATTAATAAAATATCTACAATATTTAGGCATGACAAAAATAAAAGAGAAAATATAAAATAGATCAGAGTAAGTACCTAATAATATTTAACTACAATAGTTATGCATGACAAAAAATAAGAGACAACATAAAAAATTATATTTATAAACATATGAAAAAAAGAAGGAAATTAAGTAACATCAAGTAACCCTCAACTACATTAAAAAATATTTACCAAACAGGAACTAATTGCTTAAGTGGCGTGCCAAATAAATGTAAAAGTATTCTGCATCTTAATTTTTGAAAATTAAAATTATACAATCTGATAAAATAAATATTTAATTTAGACAATGAAAATTAAAGAATAGCAAGTATTTGTATTTTAATAAAGTTATTAAGTTTATCGTCGAGCGAAACTTTCTTTACGTTTCAAATATTGCTTGTTTTTTGTAGCATAATTTTCAGAGAGATAAGTGTTAATGAATAATTTTGATACACACACAAATCGTTTAATAAATGATTATTTTAATGGATGAGGGATCTTCGAAGTAAGTTTATCCAAAGTTTCTTCAACAAGATCGCATCCCTGGTGGCCTTCTCACCTTGCCGTCGGCTGTTGCGTTGGGCGCCATTTTCGACATAAATTGAAAGTGAGCCACACAAAAACAAGCGCTTAATTCAATAAAAAGTCAAACGAAAGACGACAACAAACAAACAAACAAACGACTGCAACAATAAAAAAAAAGTTTATAATAACAGCGGACACAAATTAATTTTGCAAGCCGTCGCCGACGACACAAATTGCCGTGTCATGTCCAGAGTTGAGTTATCTCTGTTTTCAACTTTTGCGAACGCCCTTAAGAAGGTGCAGCGATTGCGAGCGGAAAGACATTGGTTTTGGTCTACGGTTTGTCCTACTCTAAAAAAATATTCAATAATTCCTAATTAATATTTAAACAAAAAATTAACCACAATGATGATGATAAATCACGATTCATATTACTTAAAAAGCATATTTGCTAAAAAGAAACATTTAAATGATGTTACAGGTACTATAATCCTGTAATTTAATATATATTCCCTCAATAGATTATAGAATGCTGCAGAATTAGTAATTTTTTTTGTTTGTTATTTCCTATTTATTTAAAATTTTAAAGGTCCAGCGCTATGCCCATAAACTTTTCAACTATTAAGATGCTTAAGAATATACATAAAGAAATTTTGAATTGATGGTAAAGTTACCTTTTTATATACAAAAGATGATGTGAACAATTCGCGGTTACACATTGTTTAACCTTTTAAGTGCTTTAAAAATATTTTATTTTATGCAACCTACGGGATATTTGAGGGCATTTCTTCTTCGGATTACAAGATAGCCCTCCTTCCCCGATTTTATTTCTTTATCTTTCGGTTTTTGCGCCTGTCAAGGGGAAAGGAGAGGTGTGATCGAGGAGCGATCTGCGCGCCTGCCCTGGAGCATTGTAATTACAAGCGGCGAATCTCCGCGAGTCTGTCCATCTCTTTCTCAGTGTATTTCCCGTCTCTTTCGAGCGTATTTTTTTTTTTGGGAGATAGAGCAGGGGACTGCGCAGGTAATTTCCACTAATTACGAGGCAATGAGTTGGTAAAAGCGACCACAACCGGCGGATGAAAGAGGGGGCACTGCTGTCTCGCAGATCTTTAGGCGCATGATTTGCGTTTTGCGGGCAAGTGTTAACGGGTAGCCCAAAGCTCTCAGCTCTGGCAATTGCGAATTAAATCTTTTTATGTGGCCTTTTTTTCGCCTTCACGCTCATGTTTAACACTCAACGGACGTTGGCAAAAATCGTAAACACAAATCAAATGAATTTCCATAATTGCACTTGTGTCTTGGCGCTTTCCGTTCTTGTGAAAAAAAAGACGGTTAACTGAGAGACTGCAAGAACATTAAAGACATTATGCTCGAATCCGCCGCACTACGCGTTTTATTCATATACATTTTCATGTATTTCTGCTGTCTAGACATGAATAGATGTCACTCGGCAAATTACATATTCATTCGGCGTAAGAAAAGAAATTTAAGGGCATAAATACTTGCATCAATACTCGTAGTCCTGGCTATATTTATTTTAATTTATATGATACTTTATATGAAGTACAAATTTATATTGCAGAATTTTCATTACCTTAATTTTGGTCAAAAGATTTGTATGGGAGACATTAAAAAACGATTTTTATTGTTTACTTTTATGCAACTTTATATAATGTGCAGAATAAAACTCTTTGCAGATCTTGCTAGTTTGGCAAAAAGTTAAAACATATTATTGAATCAAAGCATTCATTATTCAGAAAATTCTTAAAAAACAAAACGAATTGTGGAATGATTTAAAATTAACTGTTATGTATCATTTATTAAAGCATTTAAATAGCAAGCACTATGTATGTTACTATGATATTAAATTGTGATGTATATTTTTACCTGTTTATAGCAAACTAGAAGTAAAATTGTACTTGTTTTTCGGAATTTTGGGTAGTTCAAAAGATCAAAAATGCTCTTTAAATTTCCCATGATTCATCAAAGCCCAGTAGAAAGTGTCTATCAATATATTGGCACACACACAACCTCAAATAAACGAAGCAAAAGATTATTTCAGATTGTAGATTTGGTTTCGGAGAATTATGCAATTAAGCTACTGTTTTTTTGGTTTCGTTGCACAAATAAGCGATAGGATCATTAGCTCATTTCTATTTATATGCTAGTCTATATACATATTCGGTGATTTGGGGTTTTCAAATTGTTGGCCGCCGGATGAGAGACTTGGAAGGCCACGTACTATAGATAATAATATAATATTATATAATATTTTTTAATATTTCAGGCTTCGTTGTTTCTTCAACTACCAGGTTCATTTTAGTACACTTTTTAAATTCGTTTTGAGTAGGTCGAACAACTAAAGATGCTGGGACTATTATCCTATTTGCTTGGCTTATTAATTTTTCCAAGTGTACAAGGAGGAATTGGGTTCCATTCAAAGGATCAGTCGTTGAGCGTTCTCCAAGATGCACCCACACAATGCGGCTCCTTTTGCCTGGCTGCTCTCAACCCGATATTCGACGATACTGATAGTATGCGAACGACGTTGGATGAAATCAAAGCAGTCCTGCATGCCGGATTCGATTCGAGACTCAAGCAGGAACTCATCACAAAAGAAGACTTCGCGAATTCAATTCAGGTTCTGCAGACCAAATTAGATGAAGGATTGAACAGAATGGAGGAACTTAGAACGGTGAATTACGGATATTTAGACATCCTTTCGTGTTTCTATCAGAAGTTCTAATCTCTGATTATATGTAAATTAGCCCATTAAATAATACTGCACTGCAATTATGCTATTACATTGTGTATATTAGGTAAAATTTAAATTTCTTTCCTAACATTTATTTTAGTTTCGAACTCACGCTGTTTTTTTTTTATATAAGCTCAATTAAGATTTACTGCAGTTACCAACTAATTAGAATATTAAAAAAAGGGAATAATTATTATTTTATCACCTGTTCTAAATCATTTTATACAGATGAAAATAACAGACGATGCCAACGATAAATATAAAAAACAAGTAAATATTTTGGAAGACACCATTAAAGAATTGCATAGTCAGTTAAAAATATCCGAAGGTCTAATCAAATGCAAAGAAGATATTTTAAAGGTGAAAGAGGAGCGAATCAAACGCCAGCTTAAACGCCTTCAAAATAGAGATGAACAAATCTCGACCCTTACGACTCAAATTAAAGCGATTGAGAAAACAAAATCAGAACTATCTAGTGAGCTTTCTGAATTGCAGAGAACTGATGACATTTTACCTGACTTTTGTCCCAGTGGCAGTCCCAATGGGATTTACCAAATAAAGCTTCGGGATCTTGAACCCTTTAAAGCGCCATGTGCGACGTCTCCACCTGGTTATACTGTAATTCAGAGGCGCATTGACGGATCCGAGAACTTCAATCGAACCTGGGAGGAATACAAAACTGGATTTGGAAATGTCAGGAGAGAATTCTTCATCGGGCTGGAAAAATTGCATCGGATGACTGAGGCACGACCCCACGAACTCTTCATTAAACTTAGAAAGGATAATGGATCCACCAGTTACGCTCATTACGATAATTTTGCAATCGGGAGTGAGGAGGAATCCTACCAGTTAAAGAATATAGGGGAATATTCTGGTGAAGCCGGAGACTCCCTTAGAGAAAGTGAGCACCAAAAGTTCTCCACATTAGATCGGGATAATGACAATTTGAGTAACTTTAATTGTGCCAGTAAGAACGGTGCATGGTGGCACGACAGATGTTCGTACATATATAGGTGTTTATTTATGCTCTTATTAAATTTTCTTACTATAATCACATTAAATTACAGTTGGCTCAATGGAAAATACTTCAAAGATGGCAAAGGTCGTAACGGAATTCATTGGATCTCATGGCAGCACTACGACTGGTCGATGTCACTTACCTTTGTCGAAATGATGATAAGGCCCAAGTCCTTATGAGTCACTCGGTTTATATATTAAATATTTGAACCTTAATACAAAATAAAAGACCTATACTGTACTTCTAATGGTGTCTGGTATTAATTTGTTTTCCTTTTTTCCTTATGCTACCTACTACCTCCTACCTACTTTCACTTTCGGGCGTTAGAGTGGGCGTGGACAAATTGTCTGGGAGAAGTGTAAATACTTTGCAAAGAATACAACGAATACTCTTCGAGTAACGGATATAAAACTGATTTAGAAACAGAATGAAGGCCTGTAACCTGTAGCGAATTCTCTCAAGCAGTCCGAGATTTTCTTTAGGTATGTGGCCTTTAATCTGGATTTAATTTGGGATCCACTTCTTGATTTCGAAGATGTGGACGCATTGTCTTTCTTAACTCTTCTTGAAAATTTTTTAAGAGAAGGTTTTAAGTATATTTATAAATATACCATACATTTTGGTTAAAACATTGCCAAAAAAATCTGAACATTATTTTCCTGGGTTTTCCGCAAAAAACCGAAAAACAAGTTGCATTTTTCCGGATTTTGGGCATCAAAAATATATTTTTAAAAACACATTTTTTAATGGTTTTAGCTGTGAGTGTGTGAATCGATTGGAAACTTGATAACGAATTCGACGAGCCATGTCAGTCCAACATTATTTTCCAGGGTTTTGCTCAAGAAACCAAATCTCGAGCTTAGAAGTTTTTGTTCCAATCTTTTTATTGAGCAACGTTTGTTTAAATATTCTGCAGTTTATTTTTGGGCTTCGTCCTGCTGTATTCCAATTTCTAGTTTTTTACCAGCTGCTTTCCCATTCGATTGGTCCTTTCAATTGCTGAACAAGGGCTTTTGTCATATGTTCCACCCGTAGATACAAATGTATCTTTCGGTATTTCTTCCACAATTTCCTATCGTTTTTTTTTTTTTTTTTTTGGCTTGGTCAAACTATTTTGCATTTGTGGCACATTGTTGTTCAGTCAGTATTGTTATATTTCCTTTAGTTTTTTGTTATTCGGATTTGGCAGTCTTTTATTTTAGTTTCTTTATGCAGTTTTTGTGCAGCTTTTATAGCTAGTGTTTTTTTTCGGTGTTTTGTTTTATTTGTGTGTGTTTTGTTTGTCAATTTCACGCTCTATTTGTGAGGTTTGCTATTTGCCTTTGCCTTTTGTTTGATTTGGTTTGCCATTCGCTCCTTCTGTTTTTTTCGTTTTTTTTTTTTTTTTGTTCGGGTTTTCCCCTGCTGTTGATTTTTCGCCTTTGTTTTGGGTCAAATCTTTGATATTTTTGTACTTTTGACCAATTTGCGGCGCACAATGCAAACAAACACAGTCCACAGTCCAGCACATAGATACAAATGTATCTGCAGCTCGTCGGTTGTATCTTTTCGGGTGCGGGCGAGGTGACAAATGATTGGCAGCTTTTCAATATGGCGCTAATTGAGTTTTTAATTGTTTGACTTTGCACTTGTTGACTTCCTTTTTGGTCCAGAATATCGGGGCATCTGCGAGATGCGTTTAAATTGCCTGGCAATTAACTATTCCAGCGTTTAGACTTGGCTTGTGTTTCTCGATTGCTGTTGTCACTTACAAAATTGTGTTATCTCTAATCATTCCAGCTACATATTATGTGATTTTCTTCTATTTTTGTCAGTATGCTTACAGAGTTAAATTATTATTAAATATATTTGTATCTAATAATAGTATCAAAGGTAAATACCAACAGTTAATTAAGTCTCCTTTTGAAATTCCCAAATATATATATATTTTCTGCTTACTACATAAAATGATTACAGTTTTAGAACTTAACCTTTAGCAATTTAGTTTTTCCAATCTTATGTCTGCGATTAGTGGTTAGCTTTTACTTTATTACTCGCAGTTTTTTACAGGGTCAAATTTAATTATTGACTGTGTATATAGGACTATATCTTGGGGTCCTTCGAACTCGGATTCCCGGTTTCCCTGCTTCAGTCTCTCCCCATTTTTTCGGGGTCCATTCGGTGCATCTGCCGTCTGTGGTACATAAGTATTTATAATTTGATACGACAACAACATCGTCGTTGTCGGGCGGCTGCAAAACAGCAATCAAAATCAGGGATGCTCCTCAGACCAGCCCCGCCCCCTTCCGCCCCCTTCCGGTCCCCGGGTCCGTCGGTTAACCCTCTTTTTGCAACTGGTTTTAATGGCTCCGTTATTTGCTGAAGACTCTTTTCGCTCGCTATCCACTCGAGTTGAAATAATTTTAATTTAGTTGCTTTCGGCCGGGCTCTTCTGGCGCAGAACTACGAGTGTATAAACAGGCTCCGCCGCCTCCGTCCTCTTCGTCCTGCGTTCGCCCCATAAAGTCCCAGAAACTCCCTGAAACTCCCCAATATGCCACATCCCGCTCCCCGACGATGTCATCAGCAGTTTCCATTGATAAGCAACACGCACTCTCCCCGATTTCCCCCATTCCGATGCCCCGATGCTGATGTCGATGATGCCACGTCATGTGGTGATTAAGACCGAAATCTGCCGAGGGGAGGGGCACACTGAGAAAAATTGCCTATCCAAAGTGAAGAACAAAATAATCATAAATTTATTCTGTTTTTAAGCAACAAAAGTTTATAATCATTTTGTTACGAACTACACATACATATATATCGATAGAAAATAATATTAAAAACCAATAAATCAAATAAAAAACATTTATACCTTGAATAAATAATAGCAATAGAAACACATGATATTTGAATAAAACTTGATCCAAAGAGAATGGTTTCAAAATAAAAATAAATGCAAAGCAATAAATAAACCCTTATTTCAGTATAAAAGTACTTGAATAAATTAAAAGATTATTATATTTAGTTCTCTAGCCATATGGAAATAAACCCTTTGGTATTTATACCACTCTATTATAAACAAATATATAATAAATATTATAATTTAAAATCAAATTTAAATATCTATTGGTAGTGTGAGGCAAAACCAACACAAGCTATTAAAAGGCTTAACAAAGTTTAATCTTAGGAATGTTATATTGAATTTTGGGAATTTTGGTATAAGTACTTATTATCATAAGTGTAAATTGTAGTAAGTACTTAACTTATTTTTCTTAGTGCTGTAAAAACCATCAGGATGAGTCAATGGAAACAAAAGCCTTTTGGCAGAGGAAATAATAAGTGAAAGCAGATCTTTAATGAAACTTATCAGACTTCGAAGCGATGCAATTATTGAAAACCAAGCATTCCTCAGAGGCTTAAGCAAATTTTAACCTCAAATATTACGAAATAATTGGAAATTTGAAAGCACAAATATGTCAAATATGGAATACCGACAAATGGCTTATGATTTGCTGCTGCAGCTAATTCAAATCTGCTGATGTAGCATTTAAATTCTATTACTGCTGATAAATACAAAACATTTATGTTTACTAACTGATTCATTTAACAATTGATTTGTGCTATTTGAGGCACTTTGATTTAACGGAAGGCGAAGAGTTCTTTTTTCCAGCTGCAAAGTAATTAATTTCCGTTTGTAAAGTTCACAAGATGTTCTCCAAACCCCCACAAAAGTACGCCCCTGTCTTTAGTGACAAGCTGGAATAATTGTGGTGCAAAAGGGCAACAAGGACAACTTAATATGCATGGGATAGAGAAAAAAGGATGCCTGCATTGGTTCCTTTCAATTGCACAGGCTACAGCAGTTGGAAATTCCCCAACTTTTTGGGGATTTCAATTTTTTGAGCCAATTCTCTGTCGCATGTTCTCCAGCTGACAGACAGGGGCTTGTGTTTTTCGGGGGTTTTCAGGGGTTTTCCAGGGGTTTTCAGGGGATTCACTGGGTTTTCAGGGGGTGGTGACCACGCAGCCAGTGCTATAAATTTATTTGCAATAAATTTACGACCTTCTGCAATGCAGACAATTGCAACAACAGAAGCGGAAAACAGACACAGAATTAGAAACAGCAACAAATGACAATTGAAACATTTTATTCCCATTTGGCTTGGACTTTCCGAGATCCCACAACTTTGACCACGGTTTGCTAATGAAGATAAATGCAGAATAGATCGATGGGAAGTGGTGACTGTAATTTTAGATTCTCGGACTTTTAAGGCTCTTACAGATGCCAAAAGTTGATTCAATTATTGCTCCATTATTTTAGACTGCTTATTTTTAAGCATATACTAACGAAGTTTTTAGTTTATTAAAATCAGATAACTATACATGAACTTAATAGTTTGTTTATAGTTGTTCAGCTGGTAAATATAAACTTTCGGAAATTTAAACTTATTTAGAAGATTAATGAATTGTTTTTTTTTTAGAAAATATTATTACACATCCATAAATCTTATCAAAAATATTGTGTGTAAGGAAAAAGCCCCCTCTTTAGTCTCCGATTTCGTGTTGCCCAATTAAAACCAAATCCGACTCACAGAAAAGCGATCCTCATCATCAATGGCATAGATCAAAATTATCATTTGTCGACTATTTTTCATTCCCATCTCCTCTTCACTTTTATCAAAGAAATGGAAATCTTTTTGGTGCCAGGCAAATAGGAAAAGAAACCGGAGGAAAAGGAGGAAAACTAACCCACTATGCGAGGCCAGTGAATTATGGGAAGGGCTCTGAGCAATATTTTATGGGCCTAGTGTAGTGTGGGGTTTATTTGCTCCTCTTTTTTTCGGTGAGTGTGTCATAATTTACAACTGTTGCCGGGCCAAGTTCCGATTAGATTACACTTTCCTTTTCCTACAAATTGGATCAAAAATGCATGCCTTCATTTTCGAGTTCCGTGCAGGATTAACCAAAAAAGAAACAAAGAGCATTAATGTTAACTCGGAAAATTACAGGGCAGCGAATCGAACGAAGGGCAGCCCTAATTAAAAATCCATTCATCTCTTTCGAAACTAAAAATAATCATAAACTCTTTCGATAAACGGACTCCTGGAATTTCTCAGCGAACCCAGGGCATAAATCTTGATTATCACGAGAGCGACAAACGACACCGATACACAGAAAACCCAAATGAGCCGATGAT